ATCATTGTTGAAGTCAGATAAATCTTGACTGAAAGCAGAGTCTGCCAGGAAGATGTCTAGTTAAGCTTTATTGTCTATGCAAAGGCTTTTTAACAGTGTGGATAGCATTGCGAAAAATGGGTATTCCAAAAAACTTATGAGGAAACTGGTCATAGACCAAGAGGCAGCTATTTGAATAGAACAAAAGGATGCTGAATGGTTTAAAATCAGAAAAGGTGTATGCTGTGCATAAGTTCACTATGGGTCGGTACTGACTCGATGGCACCTAACAACAACAACAACAACAACATGGTTGTATACTTTCGCTATATTTATTCAGTCTGTATGCTGAGCAAATACTCTGAGAAACTGTATTATATGAAGAACAACTTGGCATCAGAGCTTAAGGAAGACTCATCAGCAACCTGTGATATACAGATGATACAACCTTGCTTGCCAGAAATGAAGAGGACTTAAAATATTGATGAAGGTCTAAGACTAAAGTATTCAGTATAGAGTTCACCTCAATGTAAAGAAAACAAAAACCCTCACAACTGGACCAATAAAGAGGATCATAACAAATGGAGAAAATATTAAAGTTGTAACCAACTTAATTTTGTTTGGATTTAAAATCAATACTCATGGAAGCAGCAGTCAAGAAATCAAAGGACTTATTGCATTAGGTAAATCTGCTGCACAAGAGCTCTGTAAAGTGCTCATGAGTTAAGATATCAATTTGAAAACTAAGATGCACCTGACTCAAGCACTGATATTTTCAATAGCTTCAGTTGAATGTAAAAGTTGGACAACGAGTAAGGAAAACTGTAGAAAAACTGATGCATTTAAGTTATGATGAAAGATAAGAGTAATACTAAAAATGCCATGGGCTTCCAGAATAACAAGTATATCTATGTTGGGAGAAATACAATCAGAATGTTTCTTAGAAGCCAGGAAGGCAGGACCTGTCTCATGTACTTCAGACATGTTATCAGGAGGAGCAGTCACTGGAGAAGGACATCATACTTTTAAAGTGGAGGTTCAGTAAAAAGTGGAAGAGTCCCACTAAGATGGATTGGCATAGTGGCAGTGGGCTGAAGGATAATAAAAGTTGTGAGGATGATTTAGGAGCAGGCAGTGTTTTGTTCTGTTGTGCATAGTGTCACTATGAGGTGGAACTGACTGGACAGCACCTAATAACAACAATATACTAGGAAGCTACTGATTGTTGTAATCCAACACAAGATTTATTACTAAGAACTAAGAAGTAGGATCAAGAAGGGGCTGACTACCTTCTCCAAATGAAATTGCACTGGCTAGTGGGATAGAGTTCCTGACATGTTTGAAGAGTATATTTGGTGTGAGTGTGTGAAATAAAATGAGAAAAAAATGAAAGATGTAGTCTTAGAGATGCAGGTATGATGCTAGACATTTAATTTACAATGGTGCTCATAGCATGGAATGATGACATTTCATCTTAGATTAATAACTGGCGTTTATAATGTTTAAATTCTGTCCAGTCTTTACAAGTCAGACAAATACATAAAATATTTACATACATCTTTAGCCAGAATTGCTCTTAAGTGCCGTTGAATCTGTTCTCACTCACAGTGACCCTGTATAGGGTTTTCAAGGAGTGACTGGTAGGTTTGAATCACTGACCTCTCAGTTAGCTGTCCAGTTAGTCAAAAGACTAAAGTTTAAATTTAAATATAATACTAATTTAAACTAAATTTTCTTTATTAGTCAGAAATATTGCTTATAGGAAATGAAGCTCATACTAGAGGAGTCCTGGTGTGGCACTGAGGGTTAATGCACCAGACTGCAAAGCCGTTTGAACTGAAAGGTTGGTGGTTCAAGCTTACCAGCTGCTCCTCAGAAGTCCTATACAGGGTCGCTATGGGTCGGAACTGACTCGATGGCACTTAACAACAACATACCTTATAAGGGGGGTCTTGGTTTGGTGGTATGGGTTCATGCACTGGACTACAAAGTTGTTTTGGACCATAAAGTTGGTGGTTCAAGCTTACCAGCCACTCCTTGGAAATCCTGTACAGGGTTGCTATGGTTTAGAACCGACTTGATGACACTTAACAACAACAATATAAATTAAAAGAAGTCCTGGCATGTCAATTAGGAAAAGCACTGGACTGCTAACTCTAAGGCTGACAGTTCAAACCAACCAATCGCTCCTCAGAAACCCCATACAAGGTCTCAATGAATTGAAGCTGATGTGATGACACCTAACCACAACAACACACCTTGTAAATGTAATTAAATTTGGATTTGCTTATTTACTTACAACTGAGAGTTCATTATATAAAAATATGAAGTCTTCGCAATAGTTGAAATTTATAGGAAATTATAAGAAGTTGTTTATTTGTGCCTTCGAACTACTTTTTGAGATTGGTGTATTTGTTATAATTATCTACATTTTTAGAATATAAGACTGATATTTAGAAGGACTAAATAACTAGCAAGTAGTAGAGGCCAAACTCTGAAATAAGTCTTAGTTTTTCTCATTGTTTCATACCTCCTTATTTATTCTGCTCATTCGGTTGTACATCCACAATAATTTAATAAGCCTGAATTATTTTCTAGATATTCTCCTATGATTCAAGCTTGGCACTCAAATGCTTTGGAGATCCAGATACTAAAAATAAAGCAAATTTTAAAAATGGTATAATTTTATAAGTGTTAATTAAATGTTTGTGAAATTTTCATAAAAGGGAGAACATTAATTCTGCCTGAAGAAGAACAAGAAAAATTCTAAGGAGTTTTGAAAGTGCACCAACTAAGATTTTGGTGGCTGGTATTCCAGGAAGAGAAAATATGATCAGACAATTGATGACATATGTGTTTTGGGAGAGTGCATGCAATATGATGTATCTACATCATTTAAGGCAGTTGGAGTAGAGGATGCCTATGGCAACAAGGAGTTTGAGAAGAGTCCATGTTATCAAATTTGGTCTTCTAATCTATCTCTTGGTGTGGTGCTGTAGGATCAGCACTGGGCTGGGAACCACAAGGTCAGTAGTTCAAATCTATCAGCTGCTCTTCAGAAGCCCTATACAGTGTCTCTATGAGTTGGAACTGATTTGAAGGCAGTGAACAACAATAACAACAATCTATCTTTTGCATGATATTCTCTTGTAAGTCATCTAAGAATTAGGTAAGGAGTTAAATCACCAAACTATTTTTATAATAAGATAATGTGCTATCAATAGGTAGAACAGAGACAATGAGATGAACTACTCTAGATCTAGAGATAAATGAACTACAACATATTAGAAATAGTAAGGCAGGTATTTCTTTGACAGATAAAGTGTGGATGAGCAAGTCAACATAATGTTGAGCGAACTAAGTCAGACCCCAACACTTCATACTATATGATTTAATTTATCTAAAAATTTAAAAATGAGGTCAAATTAATCTTTGTGTTACAAGGCAAAGTAGAAATGCCCTTGGGAAAAGGGTAATGACTAGAAGGGAGTATGGACTTCTGAGGCACTAATGATATTTTGTTTCCTGACTTGAGTGTTATTTACATACTGTATTCTCTTTGTGAAACTTCATCAACTTTTATACTCAGGATATATTCAATTTGTGCATGCATGTTATATTTCAGTTAAAAACATTAATAATGGAGAGAGAGGAGCAAACAACAATGCTGACTTAGAAGGTGCTCTAAGAAAGACAGGAAGACAAAAAAGAAAGAAGGACAGATTTGGAGTGCAATATGTTGTCTTTGAATTGACATGCTGAATATACCTGAGATGTCTGAAAGATACAATGTGATGTTCAGTAAATAGTCTCGAGAGTAAAGTCATTACTAATTTGATATTGTTGTTAAACACTGTCGAATCGGTTCCAACTATAGAGACCCTTTATAGAGTTTCAGAGGAATGACTTTTGGATTTAAACTGCTGGCCTTGTGGTTAGCAGTCCAGGGCTTATCCTATAGAACCATACTGTGATTCCAAATTTGAGATATATTGTTGGTGTTCTTATTTAAACACCAATATTGCTGTTGTTGTGAAGTGCTGTCAAGTGAGTTCTAACTTATAATGACCCTGTATAGGGTTTCTAAGGAGTGACTGGTGCCCACCAGCCTTGAGGTTAGCAATTCAGTGTTTAAGTTACAACCCCATAACAGAATTTCAGATTTGAGATACTAAGGTGTTTCTGTTTTGTTTTTTAGTTTTATTGTGAATTGAGTTATAGTTTACATGATATAACATTGTGTCATTGTTTTTCCACTCAACCAATTGTATTTTGTTCCATTGCAATGATTACAATCCTCTCCATGCACCATCAATTAATAGTATTTGCCTCTATTCCCTCTCTTTTTTTTGGCATGCACACAAAACCATGCATGAATATATAATCATTTAAACAACCAAAGGGCACATTTTGCAAGCCAGCCCCCTGCACATCAGCACACAGCCTTCATCTTTGGTGTGGCTGCTTCTCTAGTGCATAGTTTATTTGTTAATTTTTTTTAGATTAATATTAAGAGCACATAATGATCCAAAATGAAAAGGCCAATCATTGTCATTCTTATGTCATAATTTGTTTGCATTTTTTGTATTTAACTTTCCTCAATAACTGTGTCCAAAAAAAAAAAAAAATTATAATAATCCATGTGTACTTTGGTATTATCTCCTCGATCCAGAGTTTGAACAAACTTAGAATGCATCATGACTGTTCTCAACCTGCCCTTTCCCAAACACTGGACAGGACAGGAGTCATGCATTTGCATATCAAAAATGGCAGGAGGGATGAGTTTGCTCTATTTATTCACAATGCCAGGCCAATATTGCAATTTAGAAAGACCTAGGTGCCCACTCCAAAATTCTCCTTGAAATTTTCTTGCAGGATGGCAACTTCACTGTGCAATGAGAAATGATAGCTCAGAGCTTTAGAGATGCTCTCCAGCCTGTGTGCATCCCTATCCCACTCTTGTCTTACCCCACTACCCTGTTGTTGAGCATTATTACTTATTTCTGTGATTCTGGACTTACCTGCTTCCTTAAGCAAAAGCAGTCCTTTCTTGGCCTCCTCGAGGGGCAACACAAAGGATGTTTTGGCAGTGTGGAAACAGAAGCCGCATTTGTAGTTGCACTGACGAGTGAAATGATAGTTGACACTAGTGGGAGTAGTAGGCAGATTGGGTTCTTCCTCTTGGTCCTCATCTTTTAATTTCTTACTTTGCTGCTGCCGTATCCTCTGCAGACCTGCTAACCAATATGTTGTCCTGAGCCAGAAGAACAGTGGAACCAGAGCCCACCACAAAGACTTGAGCTGCTGCCTGAATACATTCAGCAGTTTTCCAGCAAAACAAGCTGGCGACAGCATCCACATCATGGCCAGACACTTGGAACTGTTCTGCATGTTGAAGAGACTCACTTTATATGACTGGGGAAATCAAAAGCATCACCCAGCAATACGTCAGAGGGGAGGAAATAAACACCCTTTTAGCTGAGTTCAGTTTCAATTCTGTTTTCATAGAAATGAAAGTTGAAATACAGCCAATACTGAAGACTCAGTTCTAAGGCCAAAATTTGATAGATATTGTTTTACATTATATAATTACTTCCTAATCTACTCTAGGAGTCCTGATGTGGTGCTGTAGGATAAACTCTGGACTGCAAAGTTGGTTTGAATGGAAATTTATCAACTCAAACCCACGAAACCACTTCTCAGAAACTCTATACAGGGTCACTAAGAGAAACAATTCAACAGCACTTAACAATAACAATCTACTCTAAGGCAAGGAGTAGCTCTGTATGATAAGCACTAGACTTTGAACCACAAGACCAGTGGTCCAATTTGAAAAATTGCTGAGTCAGTGTTTGTCTGACTACAAAAATCTACTTACAAAAGCAGTTCCTCTAATTTGATATATACGTATTACTCACTCATAACATGACGATGCAAACGTTTCCACATTATCATATTTTACATGCTAAGGGCACATTACCCTTGAAGGATGATTGATGAATCGATTAGTCTCTGAGTACCTTTTAGGCAACAGTAAAATACACTGGTAACTAGCAAAATGTATGTTTTGGCCCTTGTTTAGTTATGCAGTTTCATTTATATGTTCTCATAGTATGATAACTGGTTGTTCCCATTTCCCTTCATTTCAATGCCATCTGAGTTTTTGATTGTGACATTTGCCAATTCAAACCTTTTACCTGTGACAATTCAGCAACACTGATTACATTTCATCATGCTGTGCATCCATGCCCACTATTCTTTTCCGATTTTCTCATCACTGCTAACAGAAGCTCAGTGCCCCCTAGACAATGACACCTTTCTCCCTCAATTTTACTCCTAGTAAAGTTTATTAGTTAAAAAATTAACAAATAAACCTTGGTATCTATACATTGCTGTTGTTGTGGAGTGCTGTCAAGTCAGTTCTGGTACATGTTGTTGTTGTTAAGTGCCTTCAAGTCGGTTCCGACCCATAGCGACCCTGTACAGGGTTTCCGAGGGTGTAAATCTTTGTTGTTGTTGTTTACGGGAGTAGAAAGCCTCATCTTTTTCCCGCGGAGCGGCTGGTAGTTTCGAACTGCTGACCTTAAGGTTCGCAGCCCGATTCGTAACCACTACGCTACCAGAGCTCCTTAGTTCTGGTACATAGCGACCCTGTATAGGGTTTCCAAGGAGCAGCTGGTGAGCTTGAACTGCTGACCTCGCAGTTCAAATGGCTTTGCAGTCTGGCGCATTAACCCACAGTGCCATACCAGGACTCCCTCTGTACATTAGCCTATTTTATGTAAATGGAATCATACAATATTTGACCTATTGTGAATGCTTGCATTATTTTTATTAGACATTTTCACCTAGAAGCATGCAATGCTTGTATAATATCCTTTATAAAAGGCGATGATTATTGTGGCTTGTGATTTATTTATTATTATAGTTTTCTTAGTAAGGATCATTGAATTTTTACAGAAATGTTCTTCCTTTAGTCCTCTATAACCAGAATTGTGTTTGAGCATGTAAGTCTTACGCATTCTTGATATTTGTAGAAAGGTGGGCAGAGCTGGCTCAGTGGTAGAATTCTTGCATTCCACAGAGAAGACATGAGTTGCATTCCAGGCAAGTGTACCTCAAGCTCAGCTACGACCTGAAGGATGGCTTTTTCTGTGATGTTGTACCGGTTGCAGCAGAACATTCAAACTAAGTTAGACGACTTTTGAAAACTCAGCCAATGATAATCCCAAGAATCACAATGTCGATCACTATTGTGTAAGGAGTCATCAAAATCAGTGATCAGCTTGATGACAACTAATAAGAACAAGCAGCAGAATTGTGTTTGAGCAAGTGGTCTTTGGTTTTCATGATACAGCTCTGGCAGTTAAGATTTCAACTTGTGGAGCCCTAAAGTTAATTTCACCACTTACTGTGTGATTTAGGACAAGTTATGTAATTTCTCTGGACTTTTATTTCCCCATCCCACAGACCCTTAGAAAGAAATTCACATACTCCAAAGTGTGGTTGAGGGGCTCTTACCTCCTCTCAGCTAAGCCATCTCGAGGTGCTGTAGAGCAAGCAGCCCATTCATTGGGTTTCAGCAAATCATTATCATTTGTTTTCATGTAATTAACATTCTTTGCAGCCGTAAGCAGGAAGAGTGAGCAATGAGTAAGGAGGAAAGAACATAACTATCTTCCAAAGGTCATCCATACTTTCATCTGTTTGGTATGAGCGTAATCAGTACAGTTCCATGTTCAGTTCTGTATGCAAGAGAGATTGAGAGACCCCGGTCTTCCTCCAGTCTCAGAGTTCTCTCAGCCAGCTCAGATTAACTGTCACATCTCCCCCTTTCTTTCCAGATAATGAGGAAAGGTATATAGAAGCACAATAAGCAGTTTTTGCTGAGTTCAATTCTTTTTGCAGACGGGTTCCGCATAAGCAGAGAGCTATAATTAAGAAAAACAAAATTAATAATAATCACCCATGGCCCAGAATTTTAGATTTAGGCCAGAAAATCAGCCTTTTGGGGTTAGCCATTTGAAGATCTTGTTTAGAAGCCTCCTTTTGGAGTTGAAATACTTGTTTCTTCAATTTTTCCTGTAGAAGATCAATGTTTGCTTTGAAGGGGGAGGCAAAGGCTGAAGAAAGATGTTGTTTGTACATGTCCCAATCAGTGTTATTAAAAGGTGGGGCCACTATACAATATTGTGATAAGAGCCCATCACAGGTAAGCTGTTGATGGGTCCATAATGCTTGTTGTCTTTCTCCTAAGAAGAGGACAGCAGCTTCCAAAGCATTTAACCGCTGAATAATCTGGGATTGTATGTGAGTGGTCATATTTGACATACATGTATTTACTGGTAATGATGGCATTGATGACACATCTGCAGTGCCACAGCTGCAGTAGCGGCAATGGCTGCCACTGCAGTCACCGCAATGATTGCTGCAATGAGGGTCCGAAGGTATCTTCCTTTATGAATTCTCTCTAGTGCATGTGTGATGATTTGTAATGGGTTAGGGCTTTCCCATTTTCTGGATGTTTCTAGGCAGCCAAACTGGACTGTGTCTCAGTACAATTATCTGGGATATGTTGCTTTCAGTAATATTTTGATGTGTAATGCACAGAGTGAGAAAAGTATTGTTGGGGAGAATTGTGATTAAAAACCTGGGTGTCATGATTCCAGGTGATAATACTTTGGTTTTCTGTTTTTTTTTTATTATGGCAAAGATAAAAGGGTGTGATGTGCAAATCATAGCAGAATCAATAGACTTGTTAGTAATCTATTGTACAGGCTGCCACTTTTGATGCACAAAACGTCCACGTGGATGGGTTCTAATGGAGAAAGGGAGGGTTTATCTTCATCTGTTAGTTCGGAGAGGAGAAAATGAGTTTTGGTTATATTTAAGACGTAGTAATGATCCTACTAGACCAGGGTTTTAATATGGAGTGCATGCATTATAATGAAAGGGATCTCAAAGGACCAGGTGTGATTACTTGTTAAGACATTAAATTCTCTCAGTCCCCAATTTTCTAAGGTTAATTTGGCATTGAAATTTTGAGTGGTGACATTGGGAGATCAGCAGGTATGCCACCGAAGATCAGGTAACTCTTCTCCAGATGCCTATTTAGTAGGGCATCTCTGGGTGTGTGGTTTGGATTCATTCCACCCGGATGTTACGTAACCTGTGACCCCAGGTCCCCTTATGAAGGGTAGATGAACCGCATCAGTGAGCCATGATATATTGTAATAAATAGAATCAGCGTACCATTAAGGGGAGAAAGTTACACATAATGGCTCATGTTGTTTGGAAGAATCACTATATTGTGCACAATAGGGCAGTGCTGAGCTATTAAAGATCCATGGTTGATTCAACATGTTGCTAAATATTCCTTACCCTGTAAGTACAGGACTAGGTTTGAGATAGGGGAATCCATACCCCACCTATTACTTTAGTGTCATTAGAGGCTATAGGTGGTTCAAGGTCCTCCCAAGTTATTGGATGTTTTATAGTACAGTGCAAAATATGTGTCCAGTATACTTGCCCTGAACTCAGACCCCACAAGGTGGCAAGAATTAGAATAAAGCTCACCATGTTAGAAGCAGAACTTACAATGGCAATCATAGCCAAGAAAATGTTATCTGGTGTCTCAGTGCTGTGAAGTCTCTCCACCAATTACTGAGCATCTTGGATTAGTTTCTTGATCATTTCCCCCCATGTGACTCTGGGAGTCGGTCGGGTGTTTCTGAGTAGTATGACTCTAGGAATCATCTCTGGCAATGTCATCTCTATTGGTTTCAGATTATCCAACTTCATCTTCTTTAACTTTGGAATTGGGTCGTTTCCAGTCCAGGACATAGCAGTGTTTAACCCTTCTGGATGTTAGCCACAAGGGACCTGCTTCTGTAGAAACACAAGCAAAACCTCTTCCTATGGTTACTAATGGTACGTGCCCCATCCAAGACTCGTTTTAGAAATGCTTATATAATATGGGGGTTTGTGGGGCTGGATCCTTAGTTCCTGGGTGTGAAAAATGCTGTTCCACTGGGATCCTAAGGTGTCACTGCACCTGTTTACATTTCCTACAATGCATTCCCCAAGCGGCTTAATTGGTCAATTATCCCCACAAATAAAATACTTAGAATGGATATTCTTACACTCAGCTCCTCCAAAGTCCATTACCCCTTATCCTGATACGATAGCACACATGATTTCCTGAAGCGGCTGCTGTGTTCCCCTAACTGGCATAGACCCTAACATTATCCTTCTTCCCATCACCCAAGAACATTTAGAGCACTTATTAGCATTTTCTCAGGTTTTTGAAATTGCTCTCGCAGATTACATTGGAAATTTTGATTCTCTCCCCCTGATCCCGT